AGTCAAACACAGTAAAGCTCAGTCATAACAGTCACACAGAGTAAAACAGCAAAGCACAGTCACAACCCAGTCACAACACAAACACAGTAAAGCTCAGTTATAACACAGTCACGCAAAGAGTAAAACAGTAAAGCACATTAAAGTGCAGAGATAAAACAGCAAAGCACAGTCTCACACAGTAAAGGCCAGTAAACACAGTCTCACACACAGTCACACACAGTAAAGGCCAGTAAACACAGTCTCACACACAGTCACACACAGTAAAGGCCAGTAAACACAGTCTCACACTCAGTCTCACACAGTAAAGGCCAGTAAACACAGCCTCACACTCAGTCTCACACAGTAAAGGCCAGTAAACACAGTCTCACACACAGTCACACACAGTAAAGGCCAGTAAACACAGTCTCACACTCAGTCACACACAGTAAAGGCCAGTAAACACAGTCTCACACACAGTCACACACAGTAAAGGCCAGTAAACACAGTCTCACACTCAGTCACACACAGTAAAGGCCAGTAAACACAGTCTCACACTCAGTCACACACAGTAAAGGCCAGTAAACACAGTCTCACACTCAGTCACACACAGTGAAGGCCAGTACGGGCTCCGTGTAGGGCTCCTCACCAGCTGCTTGTACTGCTGATGGATCTCCGTGTAGGTCAGTTTATTCTCGTCCTCGTCATCAAACACTGAAACAGAGACGGCGGCGGTCAGCTCGGTGCTCTACAGCACGGTACAGTAGGGTAATGTAGGGTACAGTACGGTACGGGCGGCGGCAGTGGTTCACGGGAGCCTCACCTGAGCAGCGGCTCTCCATGAACTCCGCCAGCGGGATCAGCCAGTCCGGGCTGCCCAGAAACCCCGCGATGCTCTCCGGGACCCACTCACTGTCCTCCGCCATCAGTGACCGGCCGAGCGCATCACCGGAGCGGACACAAAAGTTGCGGGACGGGCACGGGGCTCCAGCGGCGGGTCTGTGAGTGTGTGTGCGCGCGCGATAATAATCCGCTACCCCGGTAACCGGTGGCGTCAGCTGCGCGTCACAGAGCCAGGAGAAGCCGACAGCGCCACCCGCTGATCCGGAGTCAAACCCATTTTGAGGAATGTAAACAAAAGCAAACATGGACCCGTCTTACCTACTGTTTACATGTTTAAAAAGCACCACATCTTGAGCAATGATGACATTAGAGCTGCTTTGTTACTTGCTGGCAAATGTACAAACAGGGTCCTTAAAAAGTCCAATCTTTATAGAGTTCTTCTGTGAAATAGAACATTTAATTAAATCACTTATATTCATTGAAAATAAGAAATGTGCTGCTTTATAGGGCAAATATGATCAGATCTTTCAGGCTACTAGAATACTTATCATCTTATTTATTTATTTATTTATTTATTGCTTTATTTCTTTTATTTAATAAACAGTACATTAATTTTTTTGATCAGGGGTGGCCACAGCGGAATGAACCGCCAACTATTCCAGCATATGGTTACACAGTGGATGCCCTTCCAGCTGCAAGCAATCACTGGGAAACACCCATACACACTCATTCACACACACACACACACACACACCCATTCACACTCATACACTACGGCCAGTGTAGTTGATCAGTTCCCCTATAGTGCATGTGTTTGGACTGTGGGGGANACCGGAGCACCCGGAGGAAACCCACGCCAACACGGGGAGAACATGCAAACTCCACACAGAAATGCCAACTGACCCAGCCGAGGCTTGAACCAGCATACTTCTTGCTCTGAGGCAACAGCACTACCTACTGCGCCACTGCATCGCCCCTATAGTTGGATTGTTAAAGCTAAATTGTCCGTAGTGTATGTGTGTGTGTGTGTGGATGTTTCCCAGAGAAAGGTTGCAGCTGAAAAGGCATCCGTTGCGTAAAACATGTGCTGGATAAGTTTGCGATTAATTCCGCTGTGGTGACCCCAGATTAATAAAAGGACTAAGCCGAAAAAGA